ATACATGGAAATTTGTGAACACATCAGGCATAAATTTGTCTATTAAAATGCCCTGTGTGTAAAATGCACCAGATGTATTGATGTGATCACAATTTGTTAAAACAACAGTGGTGCTACTGCTAAAATTTATAGTACTAATTGTTCCTGTGTTCTAGAATGAAAACTCATTACAATAGTTGGGATATATCTATTTAAACCAAATACACAGAAAATAAAAGTCCCAAGGTAGATGATGCTATTGCAGCTGAGCAGTTAAGAGCCCTCTAGAGCCAAGACTAGAAAATTTTAAGAAAATTACTTTCTCTAAGTTTCTTATGTATGGCTGAGAGAAGAACCAAGCAAGATAATAGAGGTTCTAAAATGAAGAAACCTGGTGAATATTTCCCATCTTCAGCTCATACTCTCTGGTACTCTTTTAATGACTTTTTTTCACATGCCTATCATGAACTGTTTTTCAACCTGTAGGCACTGAAGATTACCTATGAAGATCCCCTCCCCCATGGTGAGCATGAGGAACTTTGAAGCATTCAAAAATGATGCTGCCTCTTACTAAAGCAGAAGAACTCCTTGAAGGGTGGTGACAGGGGCAAAACCCATTCAAACCAGAGAACATGTACAGAGACTCCCATAAACCCTAACCTTATCTTATTTGTACATAAACCTATCCTGACATTCAAAGAGTTTCTTGTTTGGAAACAATGACTTTCACAGAAATCTCTATTGCTCTGATCCATTATGATGCTGACTGTCACTTTCTCCGGGTTACAGAAAGGTAATGGCATTTTACTCCAGGAAGAAGACATACTGCTACTAGCAAATCAATGTTTCATAATGGGGATGAAAATGCTATTAAGATTTGAAGGCAGCATTTTAAGAGGTCCCTCTTGTTTGCAGTTGGCAGAATATCAGCTACTTCAATATAAGAAACAAATTGCAAAAGCCTAAACTAATTACCCCATCCTGCTTCTACTCAGTTCTTCCTCCCAAGTGCCTACTCCATCTTCTCAGAGGGAGACAATAAGCAGATGGATGTACACAGGTGCATAGGACTCTGTGCAGCCACCAGCTCCAGGAGCAATTGGTCAATACCCTTGAAGCTAGTTAAAGTTTTAGTAAATGGTTTCAAACTCTAGCAGATGTTCTATTGGTCTCATGGGCACCGTTCAACCTCCATATGGATCCATATATGCAGCTAAAATCTTAGGAGTATAGGATTGCTTTTAGTTAATATTTCATGGTTTTACTCTATAACTAGTGTCTTTTCTTCTTCAGAATTTGACATGGTTCTCTTTTTCCTCCATGGGCATGATGACAAAAAAGACTTCTAGTTCACAGCGTCCTGGGCTGGGGGCACTCTTCGGTGAGGAAAGTGCCTGCCAAACAGGCATAAGACCTTGGGTTCAAATCTCCAGCAACTACATAAAACTAAGCATGGTAGTGTATTACAGCAATCTCAGCTCCTGTGAGAGGAATGACAGAGATATGAAGACCTTGTGTCCGTGCCTCTGACAGTGGGGCCAAAGTGGTAAGCTCCATCCAGATTCAGTGGAAGACACTATTCCAAACGTATTAAGTGGAGCTCAATATGGGAAAATACCTGATGTTGACCTCTGACCTCTATGCTCATGCAAACGCAGGTGAGTGCACCTGCATACACATGAATTTAAATATATGGACCCCACACATGATAAACAGGGAAGGCTGGTGTCTTACATAAATGCTGCTAAATTTCCCTCAACTTCCATGGCTGTCCTATTTAATCAGAGTTTGAGTTGGGGGTTTCATTATTCTTCAGCGAACATGAAATCTTTCAGGCCCCACTTACTGGTGCAGAGCCCACATTTTTCTAATAGTCAGAGCCTTTGAGAAAGAAAGCATCACAGGGAAGTGATTTTTATTTTCAGATGGAGGAGGGACCATATGGCTAGTGGATGGGTCTATGAACATTTTCCTCTTTTCAAGATGCTGGATGAAAATCAGAAAACATTTATGCCGTTCTTTTTTTGCTGGTACCCATGTGTGTGATTGCGTGTGAACACGCAGATAGGAGGCTGGTGTTGGGTGACTTTTGCTATCACTTTTCACCATTGACATGGTGGGGAGAGGCATGTGTTTTTTTGTTTTTGTTTTGTTTTTGCTGAACCTGGAATTCCCGATATCATCTGGGCTTACTGGATAGCTGGCTTACTGGATGACAGCTGGGCTTACTGGACACGAGGCCCTAGAATCTGCCTTGTCTTTGTCCCCCCACCTTCCCAGCAGTAGGGTTACTGATGCACAATGCATGTAGCGGCATGCTTGGCTTTTACAAGAGGACTGGGAATCTAAACTCATGCTCTAATGCTTGCTTAGTGAATATTTCATGCACTAAGCCATCTCCCAATTCCTCAGCTTAAGCCATTCTTAAACACAAGTTTCTGAATATTCACTTGAGAAATATCCACATATCACCAAATTACAAGGTAGCTCTCTTTTATCTATAGTAACAAAGCTTTGCTTTTGCTTAAATGTTTTTAAGGGTGTAAACAAAGACCAAGACCAACAAACAGTCACACGTGAACGGGGAAGAAGCCTCATTAGAACAATGGGCTTCCTCATTTCCCCACACTAAGCCATTAAGTAATCTTCCTTTACCCTTTCCCTCAAACCCAGTTGAAATCCTGATCCCCAATTAGGAGATGATTCCCAGGTAGGAGGAAATTATTTGGAAATAATTTCCTTACAAAGATAATCAATTGAAAGTAAAGCCATTAGTGAAGCCCCTCATCTAATATGATCTAATATGACTTGTGTGCTTATAAACAGAAGTGCTGGGTGTTGGAGAAATATGCCAGACTGTAAGATGCTTGCCATGCAAGCCCAAGTACCTGAGTCATATTCCTAGCATCAGTTAAGGAGGCTGGGTGTGGAGGAAGTGAAGGTAGAAGGATCCCCAGGGCTTCCTGGACAGCCAGCTTAGCCTAATCCTCTAGCTACCTGCCAGTGAGAAACCGTGTCTCAACAAACAAGGTGGACAGATCCTGAGAAACACCACCCGAGGCTGACCTCTACCCTCCAAAAAATCCACACAATGTATGTGTACACACGCACGCACGCACGCACGCACACACACCCACACACACACACACGGGGATGAGGACGGGACAACACAGAAGTTTCTAAGAAGGTAGTTACGGGGAACCTGTTCTTGGGAACATGAAGGTGACCATGACAAGCTGAGGAGGAGAAGATCCTTCTCTCACAGTCCTCAGAAGAAACCAAACCTGCTGAAACCTTGCTCATGGACCTCTGGAGTCCGGATTGTGAGAAGTAAAGTATCTAGTACTCTGTGATAACAGTCCTTGCAACCTAATCTAGCTGCTTACTTTATTCCTTCCTGCCCCAGAAGCACAATGGTGAAATTCTTCAGCTGTGCATCGTTCCTGAAGATATGGCATAGGCATGCATACACCAACTTTGGATTTGACTTCAGGGGAACAATATGAGCTGTTCTCTACATGGTAGTGCCCTGGACTACATAGGAAGAGACACTGAAAATCATCGGCAACAACCTTTCCAGTTTAACAAACAGAAAAGGCGAAGTGACAGGCTTTTCAATGTCACTCCATCAGTTACTGGTGAAAGTGTTTCATGTGATTCTCAATCTCTGTGTTTTTCTACTGTAACAAGGAGGCATTCTGGACTAGTTTCCAAGGAGAATATTTCAACAGTGGTATTTCCCTTATTTTGCCATGTTAAAAAGATGTTTAGGTAAAGTGTAAGTGGCACACATCTGCAATCTCAGACCTTGGGAGGCAGAGACAGAGGGGATCCTCAAACTTTAGGCTATCCTTGATGACAAAGAAAATTCCAGACCTACACAAAGAGGTTCTGTCTAAAAAATTAATTAGCTAATGAATGAAATATTAAAAAATAAAAATTTTAAGGGTGTTCAAAGTTAGGCTAATATAAGAGTATATGGTCACAAAGATCATAAAGAATAGTTTGCTTCACTAAAAGAGTATTTCAGAGTCCTTACATTTATGGACTCTTAATCACACTGCTGATATTTTCATTGTTAATGGCAGACACAAGTGGCTTAATACTCAGTACTTGCAAATAATAAGATCTTCTTTGGAATTCTATGCATCCAAGCAGAGGTAACTGTTCAGGAGACCATTTCTGCCTTTGGCGATTTTCATTCATAGTTTTCATACATTACACTGCCAATAACTCAAAGTAGTTTTAAAAACTATTTAAATAAAAATATTTAAAAGTTATCATGACTCTAATACCTTAATGATGGATTTTTTTGTTGACTTCTCTTTTTGTTTTCTGTGATCATTATTCTTTCAGAAGATTAGATGTTCACAGAGTGAACACGGAAAAGAGAACTTCGAATCTAAAAGCCAGAACTAAGATGAATCATTTAGAGGTGCAATTGGGTAGATCCCAGCCAGAAACAAAGAAAACCTTTCATCAGACTCTGATGGGACTGACTTGGTTGTTGTGGAAGATCTTCAGGATAACATTTGGAGCATTAAACAGTTTGGGCATACTGTTTGGCACATAAAACATTTGGAGCATAAAAGTTCTGTTATAGAGAAAATTCAAGTAATGGTTGGAATAGATTGAATGTGCCTTTTAGCCCTGCCCATTCTAGGAACACGTTGTTCTATGAACACAGCAATGATCTCATAAAACTGCTCCCCTCAACTAACAGAGACATCTCTTCTTCCTTATCTTGATATCATGTACTGGCTAATGTGTTTATTTCACACACATTCCAACAACATAAACATTAGTTTGTAGCTCACAGTAAGTTAAACTAGAAGTTCAGGTCAGAGCATTTTCTTTGCTATTCCACCTGTTAGCATGAACCCTTCTACTTCTTACTATATTGAGTAGGCTGGCAAATTGCAATCAGAAAGGAAAATTTTAAGCAGTTATGTTAATGTTTGAGGTTCTGGTCTAAAGAGCTGGTCATACACAGTCCATGAAATAGTCAGATGGATACTAACCTCCTTCATCTTTTCCAGTTCATTCTGTAAGGCTTGTTTTGCAATTTCAACCTCTATAAGTTGCTGCCTCAGCTTCTCATTTTCATCTTCTGTCGTTGTTCTTTTTTCTTCCACGTTTTCCAACTCATGGTGAAGTCTCACAGATACATCCTTTGCAACCTAAAATGATATGTTTGTAGCAATAAAATATAACTTTATTCATACTGAAGGCATTAAGAGCTAATATTTTCATAGTACATATTATGTGATTATGTTCCCAATATCTCATCTATAAGTCATTCATATATCCATCATTTAATTCTCCAACAATCCCATATGATAGATGTTACAATTTTATCAGCTTTTTTTGGAGGGGCTGAATATTAAGTAAGATATTCGAGGTTATACAGCTAATAGATAGCCAAATGGATGGCTCAACTTTGTTCCTTTAACTTCACTACATAATAACAATATCCATTTTTTATGTTCCCTTATAGATAGATTTAACATGTCTGCTTTAATTTTTATAGTAAAACCACAAATTATATGCTTCCACTATTGCCCCTACTAACAAATGAGGGGAAAAGACATTTTTAACTACTGGATAACAGGACTTAGTCCCCCCCCCATTATAACTCTAGCTAGTTCCAAATATTTAAGGTTATTAGCAAGCATTCTAGTCCTTGAGATTCATTTCTGTTCTAATACTAGTATATACTTTCCCCAACTTTTGAGATCATCTCAAAAATTATAGAGCTTTGAGGGGATACTAAGCATTCAGTGTAGATGTACAAGACATAGCCAGTCCCGATTTAGACTGGATGGAGGGAGCACCCGATGAAAAACATGTACTGCAAGCAGTGAGCTGTCTCAGAGCCTGTCCTCTGGGATACATTTTGGCTGGGCAACTTCACTTCAAAATAAGATATTTTCGTTTGCTTCCCCTTCCTTCTTCAAACCGGTTGCTGTTTAGACGGGAGTTGGGGTGTGTGGGGGGGTGTCCTCCTTTCAGGGAGTTACAGAAGTGGTGAGTGCAGATAGGAAAGGATCCTGAGTGGAAACTGAGACTTGCAACAAGAGACCACGACTATTTTCTCAATGCTGTTCCTATTCTGGATGTCAGTGATCCTGAGTGCCTGATTCCACCTGGCCTTCAATGGGAACACATCACTGCAAGCCAGACCACTGGCTTGTGTTTTACCATGGATGACCTTGTTTCAGCCTAGCAGGGAGGCGCCCTCTTCCTATTACTTCTGAAGAGTTACTCCCAGGAGACCCCTGCTCCCCCCCCATACACTAAACCGAATATTTCCTTCCCCTTCCGGGATGCTGACATTTTGTGATGAAGGCTAGGAATCCAACGTCCTTTGCTGGTCATCAGTGAAGGCCCTCAAATTGCCCTAGCCAAAGTCTCCACCCGCTGACCCCAGCGCGCCCTCGCCTCCCCCTTCCCCCCACAGCTGCAGACCTTGAGGTCCTGCTCCAGGCTGCGCAACAGCTCGCCATCAATTTCTCCAGTCTGAGCGTAGCGGAGCCTTTTGCGCTCAGCCTTGCGGAGGCGGTACTGCAGGATCCGACAGTTTTTGTTGGCTCTCTCCAACTCATGGCGCATCTCCTGCAGCTGACAGGCGTCTTCCTCGAAGAAAGTATCCCTCATCTCGTCCATCTCGGTCCTCAGCTCATCGATCTCGTTCTGAGATGGTGACAGGCCATGGGTCACAATCAGCCTTGTCTCTAGCCCCTCAGATACGTACCGCATACATCCCATGCCTACTCCCAATACCGAGGTTTACTGCCTCCTTCTCCACCAGACAGGAGTGACAGGGGACTGACAGCAAAGACTAGAAAACCAGGCCCTATTTAGGCCTTCTTTCGTTCTGTTACTCCAGCTCTCTCTGCCTGTGAGAAAGTGGGGCAAATCATGCTAATCGGATAAATGAAGGCCTAGATTTGGTTTTAAATGAAACGCAACGGTCTTAATATTAGGTTTCCTTTCAGATTGGGAGCAGGCCATGGACCTCCCTCACCTTCCTAGTTTCCCTCCCTCCCTGTGTCCCTAACAGGTTAGCAGCCTTCCAACCCTGCCGGGACACGCCCTAATCCTCGGAGGCCCCACACTTCCCCTCCCCCATTCGGTCC